GTAGAGTTTATAAAGAACTATGATAGCGCACTCTGTCAAACACAGGAACCTCTGGACTATGATCTGACTCAAAACCTACTTGAGAAGGATTGGTTACACTGGATAGGCAAATGCCTAATTACTAATCAACTTATTATCCATATGATCTTTGCTTGCAAGATCATGTTTCAGCTTGATTAGCATTTTGGGGAAACCGAATTACTTAAAATTTGCCTTAAATTTTGGTAGCAAATGACTAACTTGAACTAGTGACTAGATTCTTAAAACATGCTTAGTTCATTATTGGCAGTTTTTGGGGGGATTAGTAAATAGGGTTTTGAGGTTAAGTTAGTAATATAATTGCCCTTAAGTGGTAAAGTTAGACTAGAGGTGAAAATAAACTGCATCTGGATCTTTATAAGTTCTAGATTTAACTAAGCAAGTATCTATGCAGAACAGGGGCACAATACAACTTGATTTGGCAATAAACACTCTTGAACAAAGCACAGTCTTGTTACAGTGGTAAATAACTACATGTTTCAAGATCTAGGGCTACTAGGAAGCTGAAGGATTCTAGCTTATTGTTAAAAGTCTAATCATGTGAGTGTTCCTTAATACTGTATTGTCAATATCCATAATAAGAATGGAAGTCACAATTTGAAATGTGGACTCCCATTCGCTAGTATCATTTGTGATGATCATTTGTTCTACAGTTATCTATTGTGCCTGAGCAGCTGAGAATACTGAGGTCATAATATTTAAGGAGTCCTGCTAGTATCTTCCTAGTAGTTTCATCTTTTAGAAGTCCATTACCAGAAGTACCCCAGTCCTGAAAGGTGGTACTTAGACTTAATTCCTAGTAGTCTGAAACCACAAGTTACTTATGCTAGATTGGGAAGAAATACAATGTCTATTAGGTAGATCATATGTAGGACACCAGTAAAACTACAGTATTTCCAATAAGCTAATAGCAAAGCCATTTCTCTTGTAGAGGTTAATCGTCTGCAAACCCACCAAGTTTACAATAAACAAACTTTGCTATTAAAACTTAATGCTATATATTTCAGGTTCTTTAAGCTATTTCAGGGCTGTCATGTTCCTCTAAATCCACTTTTAGATTGTTTTTACTTTTTAGCTGAAACGAATTACATTTAATTTTCAAGAGCAGGGTCAAAAATCTTACAAGCTGAGGGCCAAAATGAAGTCTGAAATAGTCCTGTTGTCAGTTTATTATGATATAAGCTATTTGCTTGGGGTCCATTAACATCTTTTGTTCACTGGACTGTGGATTTTTTTCCCTCAGATGTTAGGGGATTCTTTTGTTAAAACCCCAATTTACCTCTTGATGTGTTTGTTGTCTTGCATCCGTGTGCAACGAAACCACTGCTAGTTGAGCCATGACTTGAGTGTATTCTTCTCAGGGCTGCTCTTGTGAAGACGTGAAAGAGCTTAAGTTAATTATTTTAACAAAGCTGCTTGAAAGTTGTTAACAGGGTTTTGTATTCCATAAATTTATAGCATGCCTAGGACACAAGTAAAATTTAGTATATTGGATTAGTCTAAAGGAGTCAAACATTGTGATCAATCTACTCTGTTGATTAGGTAACATGTTTGACAACAGTAAGCTTTAAATGTTGGAATGCTGGCTATGTCTGGGAACTTTAATGGAATAAGATGTGTTAAAAAAACTTTCTGTGTAAAGAGCAAGATTCATGTGTGTTACATTGTAATCAATTTTTTTTTCACAGTATAATTAGAGACATCGATCTTTGGGGTGTTTATGTAGATTGTGGTACTATCTGTAGACCTGGTAGAATTCTGGGCTTTCACATTCAGTGACTGTTACATTAAAAAAAAAGTGGGCGTATTGTTTTAAGCTAAATGTAAGGGATAAAAGGTTTTGTATTTCCCACAATAGGAAGCTCCCATAAGTATGCAATTATACCTACTGGCAAGTAATGTATGCAAAGTTCATTATATAAGAGTGCCCTTGACTTTAAAAGCAAAACTTGAAAGGTTTGTACTTTTTCTGCATTTCTGTAATAGTGAAGTATTCATATGTTTAAGAGTTCTTGGCTTTTAATGACTGTTTTATTGAAATGTTTGAATTATTATTTGAGTCACAGTAACAAAAATAAAGTTTAAACTTAAACGCTACTTTTATTTATTATCCCTTCTAAATTTCCTGTTCACCATAGATGTGTTTGCTCCACCAAATTGGAGAGGAGGCTATTTGATCTCCTTCAATAAGTGCTTCTGTGCTATAGTTATTTTATTTAACTCCAGGTATCTCCATTCCTAGTCTTTAAGGAAAAAGCACTGCTGGGAGGTTTTGTGGCTGTAGAGTGAGATTACGCATACATATCTCTAAGGGGATAGTGCTTTATCTTGTCCTGTTGGTCTCTGCTTGAAAATATGTTTCTTGACTGCTCGTTGAAGGTAATATAGGAAAGATGAGGGGAAAAACTGAGCAGGCCTTTGTACACAACTTACATGACAGTATCAAATTAACTTAGGATCTAATTACTTGATTCTGGTAGCAGCTTAACAACTAACCAATATATTCAGGCCTATAGAAGCTGATCCATCTCTATTTTTTCATAAGTATTATAAAGACAGAAAAGAGGAAGTTTTTTTCTTTCTTTTATTAAACCTCAAGGCCAAATAGAGCAAGAGGAAAGTACCATGTTGTTATTATGCAATACATAAAGAAATAAAATACCCCTCTACATGGCTATGGGACTTAATTAGATTTGACCACTTCTAGTCAAGGTTCCTGATGATAAATTGAATCCTGTTTCCCATTTAGAACTAAAGATTATACAGTGATAACAGAATATTTGTGAACACTTTGGGACTGTCTGTAACCCTGCAGTAATGTGACCTGCAATGTGGTGTGAGCTCTAAAAAACATCCTAAACAGTGTATAGTGGAATGTTTTCAGTGAATATATAGTCAACGTTCATTGTTGGATAAAATATGGAAGCTTTAGATTTAGTAATTTATGGCATGTCCTCTTCAGCCAAACATTTCCTATACCATATTGAGCATCAGATTGAAGGCATTTTGGCCCTTTCCTCTTCACGAAACTGCTTCATCTCATTGATATTTTAGGCCTATCTTATATGAACTGCTCACTTCAGTTTTTTCTATATGTTTAGGATTATTGTTGTGCTGCGTGAGACATGGATATCTTAACATTCTGTAGAATTTGCTGGTATAATCCAAATCCATTGTTTCCTCAACAATTGTAAATTGTCTAGGTCTTGAGGCTGCAAAGCAGGCCCTGCCATGTTTCACATTTGGGATAAAGTTATATTGTTGGAATGCAGTGTTTTCTTCAAACCTAACATATTAATGCCAAGAAGTTTTACTTTCATCTTATTTGTCCACATAATATTGTTGCAGTAGTCTGTTGGATTATCAAGGTGCTCTTTGGCAAACTTGAGAGAAATGATGTGTTTTCTGGACAGCAGTGGTTTCCTCCTTGGTATCATACCACACACACCATTCTTGTATGGTGTTTTCTTTACTGTGAATTTGGAAACACATCTGACGGTGCAAAATCTTTTGTCAGGACCAACTGAAGAATTGAAGGCTTTCGTCAAAATAACCAAAGGGGCAGGGCTGCTTTCTGCTTTTGTCATATGGCCCCCTCAGGCACCTCTGTTCTTTACTGTTAAATGAGGTTCTTTGTATCTTTTGGAGTATTTTACAGCTTGTTCTTGGGGTGACTTGTCGGATGCCCACTCCTTGGATGAATAACTGGTGTTGCAATTTCTCCATTTGAACCCTGCTTGACCATGGATTGATGGAGCCTAAAGTCTTTGGCAATGTTTTTGCAGCCGTTTCCAACCTCATGAGCATCAGCAATGCCTTTTTTGAGTTCTGCAGAGAGATCTTTTGAATAGGGCGTGACTGATTCCTACAAACCTGTGTAATGGGGAGCGTATTCCACAGATTTTAATTTCTGTGTGTTTTCTATAGGGGAAGGCCCCACAAACTTAAGTCTGATTGTCATCTCATTGATTAGATCATCTGACTACCTCAAGAGGTTTATCCTATGGCTTTGCGTAATTTTTCTAATGAAGAGTGAATTTTGGCTCAGTATGTTCAATAAAGACATGACATCATGGGTTTTTTAAAACCAGAATCTCTTCTATTAAGAGGACTTAGATGAACCTCTAATCATATTGTAGGTCACATCACCACAGGATTATAGGTAGGTCTATAGGACTTTGTCCCACCATGGTACGCTTGGCCTAAAATATCTCATTGCTTTAGGGCTGTGTTGGAGGAAGCTCACCTTGTGAGACCTTTCGAAGTGGGAAAGTAGCTTAGCAAGCCTGTTTTAACTGGGTGAGTGCTGCACAGTGCTAAAACTATGCAAGAATGCTCCTAATCAAAACTGTAATGTCTACTGAATGTCAGGGTGCTTGGCTTCCCCAATCCTTGAAGCTTTGGAGCTGATGAACTGCAAATTTCAATGTCATGAATGGAGGAAAAAGGTTAATACTACTCCCCATTTGCCTTTTGTTTTTTCCTGGCTCTACTCTCTGGGCTGGCATGCAGACTTTAAGCACCTCGCCTGTCCCCAAAGGGTTGTGCATTCCTTATTTACAACCCTTAGGAATAAAAAAAAAAAAGTCCCTTGGCATGGTTATTACAAACCAGTATTGCATTTGTCTTCTTTGCACTTCTGTTTGACACAAACCTTACTTTACCTTCGTGCTTAATTGGAAACTAGTCGTCCTAGAAAACTCTCAAACCATTGTGGGCAGAGCAGATGAATGGAGTTAAGAAATAACTGCAGTCAGACAGATGTTCGGGAAGCATAACTTCCAGAACTACCAGCCTTCGTTTTAGAAATCCGGAAGTTGCAGTCCCAACACATCTGGCCGGAATTCCGATCTTACCCGGCATGCCTAGCCCCAACCGGAATCAGAGGGAGCACGCGATGCTACATGGTGCCAGCTCTTGGGCGCGTGCGGCACGCCCTACGTAGATTGCGTCATAGGGGAATCTGTATAAAAACGGGCCGCGCGCGGCGTCCGCCCTTTCGGAAGGCCTCGTTGAGATGGCGCCGGTGAGTCGATTTTGCGCGCCGTTGCTGACGGGGCCAGGCGCTGCGGATTGTTTCAAGGGAAGGGGCCGACCTCGAAACCTTGTTGGGTGGTGGTGGCGGCGGCTTCAGTCCTGCGTGTCTTTCGTTGGGAGTCGGGGAGAAGCCGCTCCGATGTGGACGGTTAAGCCTCTTCCTGCGCGGGTTGCTTTGAGAAAGACCCCTCCCAGGCCTTTTTGGACGCAGGCTAGCCTAACCGTTGATGAAATAAACGCCTGCGGATTGAGGAAGACCTGAGTTGCCTTTTTTTAACATTTTCGATACCTCAGTGGACCTATAGATCAGTGTTTCTCAACCTCAGCCACTTCAAGATGGGTGGACTTCAACTCCCAGAATTCCCCAGCCAGCATTGCTGTGGTTGAGAAACGCTGCTTTAGTTTACAACATAAAGACTTGATTGCAGCAACGATCTTGGAAAACAGGGCAGGAGTTCAGGACTTCCATACGGTGCCAAATAACATTGGAAAGTTAATTGAAAGGCTCACCACAAGGAGACTTCAGTATTACAATAATGCTCTCATACAATAGTTGGCCCCAAAAAAGATGTTAATGTTATGATAATGTGGTTGATGATTTTTATTTTACTTGGCTTAAATTTAATTAACCACCATGAACATTATTTACTACCCAAAACTTTTGTTATTTCCTACCCAGTTCCAGGGTCCTAGATTGTTTAATGCAAGCTGTTCGTATTCTGTTTTTATGTTCTCTTCACCATGCAGAAAATAAAGTTAAATAACTAAAAAGATAAATCAGGTCTTAATATGCTTTTTCTCTTCTTGTAGAGAATGTTGGCCCATTCCTCATTTTCAGATAAAACCAGTGAAGACATTTGTATATGAGAATCAGGTGTTAGATTATTTAAATTTTCTGACTGGCCAGTGCTTTGATCCAATTACTTCCTGTGTCACAATTCTGCCAGTTACATTAAAACAAATATGAGCTGAGCTGGATCAAGTCTGGGTTTGTTCATCCAGCCAAAGTTTTGTACCCAAGGAATGGCTGACCAAATGCCTTTGGGAGTTTTGCAAGAAAGGTACACAGGCAAGAGCTGCTGAAAGATCTATTGCATTTGTTATTAGAAGTAACAGACAGGTTTTCTGATTTCTAGTTACTGATTTAGAAACAATTGTTTGTGAACCTGTCTCAACCTTTTTAAAAAGCTGTTCAAACCCTGTTCACTTCATCAGTGCTTTTTATGTCAGTCAAGCATAAATTCTATACCATGTCCCTTTAATATAGATGTGCTAGTTGGCAAAATGATATGAACAGAGATTAAAGCCTGTGACAAAGCATAGGGCTGTGTTTAATCCATTGTGTGTTGGTTTTCAATGCATTGGAGTCCAACACATTTGCAGGATACCAGGTTAGGAAAGGCTCTCCTACACACTATTTAGACCTTGAAATTGTCACAATAAAAATAACAGATGTTAACTTAAGATATGTGTCTGGGTTTCTTTTAGCAAAAAGACAAACTGAAAAAAACCACTTGCAGGTACAACCTTGATCTTACCCATCCTGTTGAAGATGGCATATTTGACTCAGGAAACTTTGTAAGTACTTTACTTATTCTTACATGTCTAGAGAGCTGTGTAGTAGAATAGTGGTGAACTTAAGTGTTAATGAAGCTAGAAAATTCTGATCCTTGTTTCTTTTAAGGGAAAGAAATTAGGCATATTTGATTAATTTCTGCCAAACTGAACTATGGAGAAGAACAAAATATTTGCTGTGATAAATCCTTCCTTGAAAAGCTAATCTAATTTTAATTCTGCCTGTGTTATGTTACAGAATTAAATGCATTCTTGATTGGTTTTTGTACCTTAGCTACTTTTTAACAGATACATTGCATAGCTGAATATTTTGATATCAGAATGCTTACAAACAGATCTTTCATGTATTGTGCTCCCTAAATTTTTTGGGTGGGACTATTTTTAATATATTAAGACTTATTTTATTTTATTTTGGGCGCTTGTATGGTATAATTTTATTCAGTGTGTGTAATAACAAATGTTGCCTGGCTAGGGTTCCTTCCCTAGTCCCACACCTAGGGCACCATTCCCTAGTGTTCCATGTTTCATTCTTGATTTAATTAGGAACAGTTCCTGAATGAGAGAATTAAAGTCAATGGAAAAACAGGAAACCTGGGAAATGTAGTTCACATTGAACGTTTTAAAAATAAGATCACAGTAACGTCAGAAAGGCAGTTCTCAAAAAGGTTGGTTTTCTTAAATTTCATCTTTCTAATTCTTGTTTAGCTTCTTGCATCCTGATATTTAATAACAATCTGAAAATTGTAAAATGTATTGGATGGTGAGTTTAATGGAAAGTGCTTATAAAAATCAGATTTACCATTTTACCTGATGCCATGCTTCCACTTAAGATCCTTAACATTGGGCCTTTTTCTTTTTTGGTGGGGGGGAGGTGGAGGGAGGAATTTCATATGAGACCCTAGGATTGTAACCTTAGATTTTGGAAGTTCTTCATATCATTCTCATCCATCCTCACAACAATTTTCAGGGTTAGATCAGCTTTGTTACCATGAAGCATATAAGGGCCAGAGATGATAGCGGTATATTCATGAAATCTGAAATGAAGAGTTTACAGTTGAATTCAGTTTCTTAGGTATCCTGTTTGGCTCGACTAAATTATGGAAGTGAACTCAAGAACTAACTGCTGAGGTTACTTTCTTAGAACTGCAGTCTTCTAATTTTTTTCTTTTATAATAAGTAGATCCTGAAATGAAATCTTGAACCTAAATCACTTTCTTTGTATGGTTAAAGGTACCTTAAATATCTCACAAAGAAGTACCTCAAGAAGCACAATCTCCGTGACTGGTTGCGAGTGGTAGCATCTGACAAGGAGACCTATGAGCTGCGTTATTTCCAGATCAGTCATGATGATGAAGGATCTGAAGCTGAGGAATAATGAATTTTTAAATGGAGCACCGTGTTCCTGAATGAGCAGGGTGTACACTCGATCATCTATTTATGAGCATGCATTAACTTATTACCAAACCGATCTTGTATGCTATTTTAAATCTCCTGTCACCTCTGAGATACCTTATATTTTCAAAGTTTTATTAAATGGCTGTCCTGATGGAAATGATTTTTTGTATGTGTGTGAAGCTGAGATGTGTGTGTTTCATTGAGATTATCTGAAAAACTATCTTTTATTTTTAGAACAATTTATACTTTTAGAATAATGTATAAGTTTAATATAAACATCCTATAATGTGTATGATGGACCATTCTCCAATTAAAACCCACGTAAAACTGCCAATTTTCTTCATTTTTAAGGAGATACTGTCTCAGAATGTAATTTTAATGACAAAGGGAGAACGTGTCATGTACACAAATAGGATCAATGCACCTCCATGTTGGTTTGGGAGTAAGGAAGTTGTAATACAGTCTAGTGTGCCATATGAAGAATGGCTGTTTGGTAGTAGCCAGCTTTGTTTAAACTGCATCTGATTAGTAATCTTAATCAGAAATAAAATCATTTCTAGTTTGAACATATTCCCTTCTACTGCATAAATTGCACTAGAGTCACTTTGCCTGCCCATCCCAGAGAGTCTCAAGATGCTAGCGAGAGAATTTCAATCCTGTAATAGTTATTTTTCTGAGCCCTTTTTATTACTCTGTGGTTTAGACTCGGGCGTCATCCAGTCACTCCTTAGATTGGTCCAAAAGGGCCCTTAAGAAAAGTAGTCTTTTGGTCCCACGTTTCTATCTCCAAATTGCAACCACCTTCACCCCAATTCCATTAAAGTGTATGTGCGTGCTTGCATTTTTCTTGTTTTAATTTTTTTTCCCCTACCAAACATAACAGAAGGGAAACTAAACTGCAGCAGAGCAAAATATCCAACTTTATAACACTTTAGGAGTCTTCATACCCTGTAGAGGTCTGCAAAATGAGAAGGGTGGTCTCTAAAGTAAAATGAGCTCATGCTAATTATGTTTGCCTGGCACAATGAACACAAACTGGCCAACTACAAGTCGTGTAAACCTAGAAAATAGGTTTAAAATAGATGATTAGGTTAAAAATAGATGATTAGGTTAAAGTAATCGTGCACTATGCAAGCATTTGCTATCAGTTATTTCTAAATGTATAGTGAAATTTAGCCATGAGGGAAGGAGGGAGAAGTATTGATAGCCTTAGGTACAGCACAGGTCATACATGCTGGTATTTTTCATAATATACTAGAAGTCTTCCTTTTGCCCTCATTTTGGTAGATAATAGTTACTGTATTATACCACCCCTGTTTCAGGGGACTCACAGCCACATTACAGTATATTGATGGAGGTCTTCATCCTTTTTTATTCGGTGGGTTTTTGGAGTTTAGTGAACCTGACGGGTGCTATCAAAGATTTGAGTTGCCTGTTTTCCAAAACCAGTGAGAGAATATATAATTTGGCCCTGAATTGAATACAATATCACGTTAAGGATCACCCCCAAGTATATGGATTCCTCTTTTTCATCCTGCATTAAAAGCACACAACAGTGTGTTGTCATTTCTTTCTTCCCGCTTTCTTTCCTGGTAGAATGTCCTCCAGAATTCCCAAGTTCTCACAGTAGTATTTTTCAACTTAACTGGATAGCCCCAATGTATCCTAAGTCCCTTGGCCTGCCTTTCAACTTGGTACAATTGCCCTATTTCCACCGAATCTCCCCTTTTACTACAGCAGCATTGAACCTAGCAGTTTGGGGAGGGGGGAGGTCAAGAGCTCTTCGCACTGAAGCACTGGCTCTCATTTGCCCCAATCTTCCTTCCCAGGATAGCCCCCAGGCCTTGTGGAGCCAAGAAGCATTCTCCAGCCCATGGTTAACTTCAACGCAATGCTAACTGCCAAAATATTAACATTAAAAATGAAACAACTTGAAAAGGGGTGGGGGAGGGTTGTTCATGGAGAGATCATCTCTAAGTGCAGTAGTGCTTATGGCCAAATTATTTTGTTCATCTCATCTGCTCAACTTGAGGACACCAGATATGCTGGACTTCATTTACAGAGTTGGAGAAGGGAAGCCTTAAAGCCTGTTCTAAAAGTACCGCATGGTGTATATGACTCATCCCTTTTGCTTTGACTAGCCCAAATTTAGAAGGCAGCAGGCAGGCATGATTTAACCAAAACAACATTTGTGAAAGTATCTGTACAACCCTGTGTGGTTAATGAAACTGAGTAAAAGAGGCTCTTGCTGAGATCTCAGACGTCTGTGTATGCGCAATTGCACAAGTGATTTGCAGGGTGTGTCTTTTGAAAAGATGTCCATCAGCCTGATATCAGGAAAATTCCTTTTAAAAGTTACCTTGGAATGTCTACATCTGAAGTAGAATGTTCAGTATTTTCATCAACAAAAGAGAGTGCTATACCTGTTTGTGCAACACTGGTGCCCAGGGGCTTCTGGGATTCCTCAGAGGTTTATTAGCAGCTTTGCAGTAAGATCAGTAGTGGTAGATCAGTTGTTCTGAAGGACAGTTTAGCTGCTGGTGAACATCCAATACCATTTGTAGCCAGAGGGAGGTGCTTCAGGCCACCCCATGCTACCGCATATTAATATAGCCGAGTTAGTGAACTGGTCCTTGCTTACCAACCACTCATTCAGCGACCATTTGAAGTTATGACGGTACCAAAAAGCGAAATTTACAAACAGTCCTTGAAGTTGCGGCCATCACAACATCCCTGTGGTCACATGATTGTGATTTGGGCACTTGGCGACCAGCGTGCATTTACAATGGTCACAGTGTCCTGCAGTCACATGATCACCACTTGTGACCTTCACTGCCAGCTTCTGACAAGCAAAGTCAATAGGGAAGCCAGCAGGAAGTCGTAAGTTGCGGTCACATCACATCACGCTTAACAACCTGTAGTGATGTGCTTAACAACCACAGCCAGAACTGATGTCGTAAGTCAGCATGGTCATGTGACATTTCACTTAACAACCGCACTGCTTAGCAACAGAGTTGCTGGTCCCAATTGCAGTTGGCAGGTGATGACTACCCGTATATGAATATGAACTAGAGTAGTGTTTCTCAGCCTTGGCCACTTTAAGATGTGTGGATTTCAACTCCCAGATTTCCTCAGCCAGCATGGCTGGATTCCTTAATCAGCCAACCTATTCATAAGTTTCCAGTCACTCCCTGGTGGCTGAGCACTTACTATTTCCAAAGTGTTTCATGTTATACCTTGAGGGTGAACTCATTTGTTTGGAGATTCTCCTGTCATCCACCAACTCTTTACATTTTCTGTCTAGCGGATTGGTTTAGTAGGATGCAAACACTTTCACCATTAGTTGGCTGTGTCGCACGTAACAGCAATCTGACACAATTTGTGCAGGAAGCAGGTTTCAGAGGCGAATAGCAACGTAGCATGATGTCTGGGAAGTAAAAGCTTGGGCAAATGAGCTTTGAATGATAGCAGTGCATTTTCTTCCCTTTTTAAACAGCCATTGGGTTTTTTTTTTTTTTTTTTTTATCTGCGCTCAGTCGTTACCGACTCTGCAGTGACTGCTTGGACGAGTCCTTGCAGTTTTCAAGGCAAGGGTTTCGGAAGTGGTTTGCCAGGGCCTCCTTCCTAGGGCATGCAATTCCACACAGAATGGGAATAACAGTAGTGAGTAAGTGTCCCCATGTCTCACAAAAGCCCCAGCAGTGCAATACCCATTACACTACAGATGAATGAATCAGACTATTTCCAGTCCATGTCAGTTTTGCATCTACCAGTTGTCATTTGATTCCATCAATTTCTGTGTTCTATTATGTTTTTATAATTGCATCTCTCTTCTGCACATCCTCCTTGCAGTGTGCCTGTTGGTATCAATATACCATGATCCGCCGGCAGGTGGCAGCACCTGCCTAACATTGTTTGAGTTTGGAAACTAAACTTGCTGAGGACGCGTTAGTAATTGGAGGGGAGACATACGTATTTTCAGAGCTTAGGCTGGATAATGAAACTGGGGGGGTAGGGATGGCTGGGTGGGTGGAGGCCACCTGGAAGATGGCAGTGGCAAATTACATCCAGATCGATATAAGTGTGAAGTTACTGGGAGTGAAGTTTGACTTAAAAGAGACTATATTCATTTCTTTTCATTAATCCATGCAAAAAAATCCCCTCTAACCCCTATGGGTGGTATGTGTCTTCCTCAATCTCAGTGCTTCTACCAGAAGCCTGGGAGTTTGAGGGTTCTGCACAGTATCTTGGCTGTTCCTAGCACTGCTCTCTTCTGGACAGAGAGCTCAGATGTTGTTCCTGGGATTTGTTGGAGCCACTCTCCCAGCTTAGGAGTCACAGCCCCGAGTGCTCCTACCACCACTGGGACCACTTTGGCCTTTACTTTCCACATCCTTTCTAGTTCTTCCTTCAGGCCCTGGTACTTCTCTAGCTTCTCATACCCCTTCTTCCTGATGTTTCTGTCACTTGGCACTGCTACATCTATCACCACTGCTGTCTTCTGGTCTTTGTTTACTACCACGATGTCTGGTTGATTGACCAGGACCTGCCTGCTTGTCTGGATCTGGAAGTCCCACAGGATCGTAGCCCTGTTATTCTCCATGACCTTCTGTGGAATTTCACATCTGGATTTGGGAGGGTCTAGCCCATACACTGTGCAGATCTTCCTGTACACAATGCCTGCTACTTGGTTGTGCTGTTCAGTGTATGCTGTTCTGTTGAGCAGAGTACAGCAATGTTCCCAGAAAAACTTTGCCCAGGGAAAACATACACACCAGCATGAGAGGTTTGCAAACTGCAATGTCCATATCTTGTTCTTCAAAGAAACACAGCCAGAAAATATATACTATCTGGTTGTTTATTGATAAAAAATACAAAACTTCATAAAATACAAGTTGTATACAAAATATAGGAAAATACACTTCTCATAAATTCAGCATCCAAGACTTATCTACAGAAACAAAGTCTCTAGCCAAAAACTCTCAGAGAAGAGGTACACTACTTGGTTATTAGTTACAACTACATAACCTATAGAACTACTTAACTACATGGTGGCT